AGATGGAGCCTCACTCTGTCGCCCAGACTGGAGTGCAGTGATGCAATCTTGGCTCACTGCAACCTCCACTTCCTCGGTTCAAGCAATCTTCTGCCTTAGCCTCCTGAGTAACTGAGACTACAGGCATGCACCACGAAGCTCCGCTATTTTTTTTTTTTTTTTAGTAGAGACGGGGTTTCACCATGTTGGCCAGGCGGGTCTCGAACTCCTGACCTCAAGTGATCCTTCCACCTCAGCCTCCCAAAGTGCTGAGATAACAGGTGTGAACCACCATGCCCAGCCCTGAGTTTTTAAAATCTATTTCAATCAAAGTTGACAAATTATTTTGGTGTCATCTAGCCTTAGCTTGGTAATTTACAGAGTGTGATTCCTTTATGCTTCTAAATTAAAATCTGTGAAGATTTTGGGGGAGTGCCCTGAAAGCTAAATCTTTGCTTCTTGGGGTAATGCTAAAGCTATTTCTAAAGATGGAAGGCAATGCTTCCATGTGCCTACATGGTCCGGGGCAACAGTTCCCAAAGCATTGACTAAGATCGGGAAAAACCTCACTGTTGCCACAGGCCTCTTTCCATCACCACCATCAGACAGACTTAGCAAGAAGCAGAATCATCAGAGTCCCTGGCAGGGAGAGGGGAGGAAGACAACTCATCTTCTCATGAGAAGCAGTGGAGGCAAAGTGGGGTTTGTGTGCAGCCAAAGCAGCCATGTGCAAACCCAGCACGCAGCTCAGAGCCCTAGGTGAGCAGTTGGCATCAGAGATTCCAGACTCCAGCAGCCACTCACAGGATGATTTGTGAGTGGACGTGTTTTAACCTCTTGGAGCCTCAGCTTTGTCCTTTGTAAAACAGAAATGACAATGACAATAAAGATAGTAATAACACTATTTGTAAACTAAAAATAAAGAAACTAAAAAATAAATAAACACAGGCAGACTTTTTGGTTTTGTGCAAGGATACGTCGGGACCCATGGCTGCTGCGCTCCCTGAGGTCAAGGGCTGAGCTGCGCACTGGAGAAATGGCCGTTCCCCAGCCTGGCTCTGCTGCTCTCGGGTCTTGGACATGGGTTAGTTTGTCACAGGTTGAACCTTCTGAGCATCTCCTGCAGAGACAGCCCCTTCTGAAGCTCAGCAGTTCCAAAATCAGCTCCCTGACACCCCCAAAGCCACATGTTTTCAGTGAGGGATGGAGAGTGGAGTCGACAGGGCCATGTGTGATGAGGTGCAACTGGGCAGATACCCAGATTCCATGGGGCATGCCTTCCACACTGCACAGCCTTCATGCTGCATGCCATTCATACTGCACACCCTCCCCACTGCACAGCTTCCATGCTGCATGTCATTCATACTGCACGTGCTTCCCCCCGGACATCCTCCACACTGCACAGCCTCTATGCTGCATGTCCTCCCCCTGCACATCCTCTCCACTGCATTCTCTCCATGTTGCACGTGCTCCATGTTGCACATCCTCCCACCTGGACATCCTCCCCACTGCACGTCCTCCCCCCTGCACATCCTCCCCACTGCGGGTCCTTACCCCTGTGCATCCTCCCTTCTGCAGGTCCTCACCCCTGCAAGTCCTCCCAGCTGCATAGCCTCCTCCCTTCACGTCCTCCCCACTGCATGTCCTTCCACCTGTACGTCCTCCCCACTGCACGTCCTCCCCACTGCACGTCCTCCCACCTGCATGTCCTCCCCGCTGTACATCCTCCCTGCCGCACATCCCACTGCACAGTCTCCATATTGCATGTACATCCTCCCCACTTCATGGCCTCCCTCCTTCACATCCTCCACACTACATGGCCTCCCTCCTTCACGTCCTCCCCCCTGCACATCCTTCCCACTGCATGTCCTCCCCCTTCACATCCTCCCTGCTGCACTCCCTTCCCACTGCACTTCCTTCGCATTACAAGTCCTCCCTGCTGCACGTCCACCCCCTGCACATCCTCCCCACTGCACGTCCTCCCCACTACACCTCCTCCCCCTTTCACATACTTCCCACTGCACGGCCTCCCCCCTTCACATCCTCCCTATTGCACGTCCTCCCCCATGCATGCTCTCTGCCCTGCACAGCCTCCCCCCTGCATGGCCTCCCCTTGCATGACCTCTCCCCGCATGACCTCCCCCCGCATGTCCTCCCCTCACATGTCCTCCCCTCTGCAGGTCCTCCCCGCTGCACATCCTCCTCCCTGCACGTCCTCCCCACTCCACGTCCTCCCCCTGCATGTCATCCCCCCACACGTCCTCCCCACTTCATGTCCTCCCCACTGCATGTTCTCCCCGCTACACATCCTTCCCCCTGCACATCCTCACCCCTGCACGTCCTCACCCCTGCACGTCCTCACCACTGCACGTCCTCACCCCTGCACATCCTCCCCTCTGCACATCCTCCACGCGGCACACCCTCCCCACTGCTTATCCTTCCCACCCACCACTCGTCCTTCTTACAGATTCCAGACTCCAGCACCCGAGGCTGGGAAGTGAGCATCTCCGCCTGGACAGCCTGGGGCCTCACAACTCCCCCATGAATTATGCATCCCTGTGGGCTGTTCCGCTTTTCTTCCCCCTCAGCCATAATGATGGCAATTTTCATATCCCCTTACTGTTCAGAGACCATATGGGGGCCAATGTGCACAATAAAGAGAAGAGAAATCTCACAAGCATGGCTCTGTGGACAGAGGCTTTGCAGCCCCAGACACATGAAGCAGCCACCACAGTAGATGCAGTGAGGGGCGAGGCCAGGAGCTGGCCCTGTAGCCTGAGCAAGTCGCTTGCCCTGTTGGTGGAGTGGCACTTCAGATCCCTGCCCTGCAGGCTTGTTGGGGGGCAAGTAAACAGTGAGCGCAAGCTCCACGAGAGGCCACCTGGAAAGTCCTTATTGTTGGACTGAGCCTATGAAAATGCGATGTACCAGGGAGCTTCAGGTCTCACTGCAGCACCATGGCTGGCTGCACAGTGATTAGAGGCTCTGACTGGCAGTTTTACCTGTGTTTAATTAACAGAAATAGGAAAGGGGGCCATGGTCACTTGTGGGCCTTCCCAGAGTCTATGAGTACGGAGAAATGTCTGGGGCGCACAGACACCAGTGGTGAGCAGCGGGCTGGCATCCACGCAAGTGCTGCACTCACAGGGTGCGCCCACCTGCACTTTTGTCTGGCTTCACAGGGTCTGTCCGGGAGCCCCCTAAAGAAATGGCCCTGTCACTGCCTTACACTGCCACTGCGTTCTCAAAGTGCTCCAGCTTGCGGCAGGGGGCCTCTGCTCAACAACCTTGGGCAGCTGGCAGAGAGCTAGGAAGCCAGGGCCTCCTCCAAGAGGAAATGAGCCACTACTCTTCTAGGAAACAATATCTGGAGTAAGATGGGCTTCAACTTTGTATAGGACAAATACAGGGTGGCCCTGGGGTTCGGAGGAGTTGGCGTGAACACTTCGTATTTTGATGAGGAAAGAGCCCAGCCAGTGGAATGACAGCCAGGTGGCACCCTCTGCACAAACACCAAGGCAGGGCCCAGTCAGTCAGCCTCCTGGAGGACCCGTGTGCCCTTTGTGGGGAGGGTGGGGCAATGGTTCTCTTTGCTAGGTCAGCATTGGAATCATCTGAGCTGCTTTTTAAAAATTACTGTGGAATTGGCCGGACGCAGTGGCTCACGCCTGTAATTCCAGCACTTTGGGAGGCTGAGGCGGGCGGCTCACAAGATCAGGAGATCGAGACCATCCTGGCTAACTCGGTGAAACCCCATCTCTACTAAAAACACAAAAAATTAGCCGGGCGTGGTGGCAGGCGCCTGTAGTCCCAGCTACTTGGGAGGCTGAGGCAAGAGAATGGCGTGAACCCGGGAGGCGGAGCTTGCAGTGAGCCGAGATCGCACCACTGCACTCCAGCCTGGGCGACAAAGCGAGACTCCGTCTCAAACAAACAACAACAAAAAAATTACTGTGGAATCACAAACCACATGCCCCATGTTTTCACTTGTAAGTGGGAGCTGAATGATGAGGACCCATGGATGCAAAGAGAATAATAGACACTGGGGCCTACCAGAGGTTGGAGGGTAGAAGGAGGGAAAGGAGCAGAAAGAATAACTACTGCAGACTAGGCTTATACCTGGGTGATGAAATAATCTGTGCACCAAACCCCCATGACATGAGTTTACCTATAAAACAAACCTGCACGCATACCCCTGAACCTAAAAAAAAAATTTTTTAAATATAAAATTAAAAAGTAAATTCCTGTACCCAGCTTCACCCTGATTCCCTGCTCCCAGCACACACCTTTTCCATCAGAACCCCTAGGAGGGTCTCACTCAGCCCCTGCCATCAGGCCACAGAGCAGAAGGGCACAGCTGAGGCTCACTGGGCTGTCCTCTGCTCCTCAGGAAGCTGCCCTCATGCTCCAGGTGGAAATCAGGCCCCACCTATGTCTTGACTCAGTTCAGAGTCAAGGGAAACTTAAAAGAGAGATTCAGGGGACAGTGTCCTCTGTCGATCCACATCAGCCTTGCCTCGTCCTTGTCCGCTAGTGAGAAGTCTTGAAATACAAAGAAAAAGACTCCTGGGCTATCCCTTCTGAGAGTCTCCAGTCCATCCTCAGAACACACTGACAGTGCATGGTGGCAACGGGGCCAGTTCTGCAGGTGGCTTCCAGGCAGGCAGTCCCTGCGAAGTCCCCAGTCCCATCCTTTGTCCCCACCATCCAGACACTCACATCCCAGTGATCTTAGAAATACTGCTTTCTGTAGGATTTCTTCTGCAACTGAATGACCCAAGAGCCCCGTACTTGGCATTATTATCTTCCTGTTCTTGGCAAGCATTTCCTTGGCCGGGCCGCCCTTCCTGGGAGGCTGTGTACTTACAGCAGTAACGATGGCTCAAACGACATCAGCAACTGCAGCTGCCTCCTGGGGAGGGCCTGCGCCTGCCAGGCATCATCCCACATCCCTGGACACCCCAGGATGACTCCTTTATTAATCTTTTCTCCTGTCCTGTCCTGCTGGTTCTCTCTTGCAGAGCGACTACTCGAGCGACACAGAGAGTGAGGACAATTTCCTCATGATGCCCCCGCGGGACCATCTGGGCCTCAGTGTCTTCTCCATGCTCTGCTGCTTCTGGCCTCTGGGCATCGCAGCCTTCTACTTGTCCCATGAGGTAAGGCCTCCTTGGTCTGTGGCACCTGGTGTGCAGGTGTTGACAGGGCAGGGGTGAGGGCGACAATCCCAGCTGAGGAAGAGGAGAAGCGAGGAAGCCCAGACAGCTCCTGCTACAGCTGGGTCAGCCCTTGCCCAGTTGGAGGATAGGCTGGGAGAAGTCAGAGTCAGGGGACCCTGGGGGCCGGGTGGAGGCATTCGGGCTGCCTCACCCCAGATGCATCTGTGTCCTCGCAGAGGCGGGACTGCCTTCTGAAGAGGCCTCATGACCGAAGCGAGTGTCTGCTTGGTAGAAGGCACATGGCCTTTGGGAGGCTGTCCTTCATTTAGGTGCTGGGGTTGTGTGCATGGGGTGACCCTAGTGCCGGGAAACACCAGGCCCAGGTGGACTACGTTTAACTTAATGAGAGAGGAGAAAAGAAGGGTTTTGATTTCCTTGCTAAAGAATCCTTCCTAAAAAATAGATTCCAGTTCCACAGCAGCCCCCGTGTACCTGCCCCAGGTGAACGCCCTGCCTGTGGAAATGGCACATCTCAGCATGACATCTGCCGTTCCTCCCCAACATAAGGCTTCTAAAGGTTTCGATTCCCAGCCTTTTTCACTACAGAGCATCCTATTGGTTGCCCCTTATGCAACCTACATTTTGAAAATATTGGAAATATTTTTCTCTAGCAAGTGCAGAGTATTCATTCAGAAATCAGCTATATTCACATTTTTATTAATCAGAGAAAGACATTTCTACTTGCCAATTACAGAGTGAGCTGACGGCGTTACCATGGCCCGCTGCTATCTGCCCAACCAAAAGAGGGAGAAAGGGCGCTTCTCTGCTGGCCCGGGGTGGGGGTGGTGCCGGGCGCCCGTGGGGTGTTTTCAGGGAGGGCTGAAGATGCCTCGAAGGTGCAGAGGGTCCCTCTCCAGCTTCTAGGGTTCGGGACCAGGGCTGCACACAACTGAGCCTGGCAGGTGCTTCTTCTGAAACAGATTGCGTGACTGAGCCCAGCAGTTGCTTCTTGATGGCTTCTGTATTGGTTGGGTTTGTTGGACGAGTGAGAGGAGAATCCACCCTGGCCTTAATGGGGTTTCTGTTTCCCCCTGCACATCTTGAGTGGTGACTGGCCCCTCTTTCTGACATCCAAGAAGGAGCAGGGGAGCGTGGTGGGTGGCCTGTGGTCCTCCTGAGGGCAAGTGCTTCCTGACAGGGCACGAGAAGTTGGGCAGCCTTTGCAGGCAGGGGTGTAGCCGGAGGGGCCCAGTGTGGAAATCTTTATCTGCTGGGGCTAGGCTGAGCAGTTGTTCCAGACCCAGCTTTGATCTTGAGGGTCTGTCCGAGCTTCTCTTGTGACTTCGTCCCATGAATGCCACAGAACCCCTTCTCCATCAGCACAAGCATGGGGTGGGGAGCCTGACTCCTGGGTCTGGCAGGGCCTGGTGGCTGTGGAGTGGAGGCAGATGTGAGTGAACCCTGCTGCAGGATGAGGTGCCAGACTGGGACACACAGGAGCTGGAGAAATGGGTGTGGGCACAGGCCCATGGTGGGCAGAGCCTGCCATGCCACATAAACTGCACCCTGATGCTGCCAATAGACAAGAGCAGTCTTGCAAGGGAAGGACAGATTGGGCCCAGGAGCTGGACAGGTGACATCAAACGCGTCCCCAAAGCCTCCTTTGTACACCCCAGCCCTGCGTCATCTCCATATGGGGAAGAATAAGGACACACCCACCTTCGTGGGGCCCAGCCGCTGAGACATCCATGTAAAAGTGCCACAGAGTGCTGGGTGGATGGAACCCTGGAGAGATGGCAAGGGGCCGCAGGGAGAGGCTGCCTACATGGCCAAAGGAGAGACCAGTCCTTTGTGGTGTCCGTGGTCTCTGCCGCTCCATGTGCTCGGATTGACGCCCCAGTCTCTGGTGCAGGGCAAGGTATGGACAGCGTCTCTATTCCAAAGATCATCATTATAATAAAGAGCAAGGCTACAACTGCAGAGACTGTGTCTAGAGTCTTTCTCAGAAAGTAATTTTATGCTGAACACAGTAAGAGCCTCTCAGGCTTGGGTCTAAGAACTCATGGTGTTTGATACGTTAGACAGTGTAGAGGATTTCTATTACTTGGTTAGCTGCAAATGGGAAATGCAGTTTCTATAGCGGCTTCTGATCACTTTTTTGGAGATGAAGTGGAAACATTTTGGGGGGTGGGTGTAGGTGTTGCCTTCACTATGGGCGTAGAGAGGAGCTTTCAGGGCCAATGGCTGCAGCCTCCCTTTTCATTGCGCTTTGAGAATGGATTTCCCTGTGGTAGAACCACAACAGAGAAGAGGGGCTGACACTTTTATAAAGATACCTGTGGAGGTGAGTCCCGTTTGCAGAGCCTGCTTCCGCATCCCTTTCCAATCAGAACTCCCTTCCCAGGCAGCTCCCCTTAGTCTGCAGTGGTGGTTCCGGGTGCTGCTGCAGATCCTGGAAACAAGCAGCCCTGCTCAGGATGCCTCAGCCGGCTACCAGGCTGCTGAGCATTCCGTTTGCAGCCCACACTGCAGATGTGTGGTCTCCGGCAGGCCATCGTGGGGAAGCCGGCAGCTGCCAAGGAGAGAGAGTGTGGCACAGAATAGAACAGATGCAATCTGAGAATCCTTGCACTAAATTAAATCAGTGCTTTCCTAAGCGAGGCCACCTGGGAGTGCGAAGCCCAGGACTGGAGAGGGGGAAGCCCGTAACCCTCTCTGCCACAGTGGCCAGCACCTCCTGCCGCCTTGTTGGGTCAAGGGGATGATGCACCTGGGCGAAGAGCATGTTGGTGGAGCCGAGGCTCTCCAGGCCCACAGTGCCATTCACGAGGAAATCTTTGACATCTAAGTGTGACTTTGGGTTTTCTTTCCCTTTTATCTCAGATCATATCACAGTGTACTCTGACAGTCAGGCCGTGTCTGCTCGTTGTCAAAATAACTGTTCAGTGAAGTGAAAGGAACATGCCAAGCCATTACAGAAAAACAAAACAACATCTTATGGTAGTTTGATTAAATTGGGCAGTGGAGAAAATGAGGGCAGCCATCTCTAGAATTATGCGCCTCCGATATGTTGTTCTGTTCTGTTGTAGTCTGGTCCCATTCAGCAGGCAACTCTCCCATACCTCTGTTTCCTGACGCATGCAATGATGTTAACATGATTTCCAGGCTGTGCGGTTAGCTGAGGGTTAGAGATGTAAGGCCAGTGAAAGTCCCCAGGAGGCACCTGCAGAGCAACTGCTGCTGGTCATGCCCTGCTGGAAACCTGAGTTCCCCAGGTGCTGGGGGTCCAGGGGCCAAGGGATGCCTGGAAAGACACAGACATAGCTTTCCCAGGAGATTTGGTTAAGTCTAAAAATGTGTTCATGGGGCCTGTAATCCCAGCACTTTGGGAGGCCGAGGCGGGTGGATCACGAGGTCAGGTGATCGAGACCATCCTGGCTAACATGGTGAAACCCCGTCTCTACTAAAAATACAAAAAACTAGCCGGGCGTGGTGGCGGGCGCCTGTAGTCCCAGCTACTCGGAGGCTGAGGCGGGAGAATGGCGTGAACCCGGGAGGTGGAGCTTGCAGTGAGCCGAGATCGCGCCACTGCACTCCAGCCTGGGCGACAGAGCGAGACTCCGTCTCAAAAAAAAAAAAAAAAAAAATGTGTTCATGAACTAGCATAACAGTAGTAATCAAAGTGTTAGTGAGGTGGGTAACATTGGCTGACCACCTACTGTGTGCCAACTTCAGCGTTGGGCCATGCACCCTTGCTTCTGAGGTGTGGTCCTGGACCCCCTACGCAGTTGCTAGAAATACACACTGTCTGTTCCACCACAGACCTGCTCAGTCAGAGTCTCTGGGGCAAAGCCCAGGAATCTGCATTTTGAGGAGGCCTCCAGCTCCTCGTGGATGCTGCTGCTGTCACCTGGGAGTGGCCGTGGTGAACTGCGCTGCAGTCATGGCTGGGAATCTAATAAGCAGTGGGAAGCTGCAGGATGTCTTTTGGAAGAAATGACCCCGGGTTTTGGTTGTGGTGTGAAAGGAAGAGGGAAGGGAGGGATGCCCTGGGTTCTGATGGTGTTCGGGTGTGAGTAGTGCTGTCTCACATGCATGATCTCATAGGATCTCCATGACATGGGTGCTGAAATCAGGGTTCAGTGAGGTTGAGTGATGAGCCTAAAGCCAACATTGGTGAGCAGTAAGCCGGAGCTAGCAAGATGTGTGGGCTTGGAGGCACCTGCCTTCTCTGGGGGAGGCATCTGGCTTGTCCCTGAGCTGTGGGGTGGGGGTGGGTGGGCAGATGAGGGCAGCATGTTGTCTACAACTTCGTTTTGCTCAACAACGTTCCATCTGATGCCCATTGCAAGCACGCTTTGTAAACCGGTTCATACAGAGGACGGTGTGGGTGTGTGCGATTATGGTGGTGTGGCTTCATCTAGGAACTGACATTTGTGAATGATACTGAGGATAGACATGAATCCCATAATTGGCTGAGTGGCTGCTGTCAGCTAGTTAATGCACACACTTTATCTTATTTAATCTTTGCAGTGAGTCCGGAAGGTGGAAAATTATTACCTCCAGTTTACAGATGAACAAAATTGAAGTTTCAAGGGATTTAATAAGTAACAGATATCACAGAGGTAGCAAGTATGGGCACATGAGGGAAATATTAGTATTTCTAATCCTTAAAGCCATATTTTTTGCAATATAGCTTTGACTTTTATCTGTTTGCAAACAAAAATAGAACCACAGTCCTTGCTTCTAAATTCACCATCCCCCCACCCTGTTTGGAAAGGCTGGCAGGGGAGGAAAGCCTGTCTGAGCATGGTATGGCATTGGTCCTCATGGCACTTCACTCCATCCCATGTGATGGGGGCAGCCGGGGACTGAAGCCAGAGCCCTGCCCCAAAGGGGGCACTGGGCCTGGACCTGCGCCGGGCAGGCCCCAGGGTTCGTGTGTTGACTCTGCTGGCAGACGTCTTTACATCCAAGCATTTATTATGTCTTGATCTAAT